AAAAACATAAACATAAAAATAGGCTCCCACAAACATTATTGGAACTCTAAATCAAAGTAAAGCACCGCTGGCTGCATTTCTTTCCACATACACCTACTTCTCTTGTTGATGTTGTTTTGCGCGCACCGCTCGAAAGGGAACTGCACCCAGAGGGAATGTTTAGTTCCACTGGTGAGGGCATATTTCACATAAATATATGTTTTTTTTTTCTCCCCCAAAACTGGGGCATTGCTTCTTTGCATGTGGGGATGTGCAAGCGTACAGCTTAGTAAACTAAATTGCTCGGAGTCTTGAACAAAGTGACCTATTCAGGCTCACTTCAACAAGCTTTCTGACAAGGTCATCAGCAGATGACACAAGCTGATAGGAGAGCAGCCCCGGCTGATGGAAACAGACGCTGGGTCTCTGGGGCTTGCTGGAGCTTAGCCATGATCACATTTAATCATCAGGAGCTGCTCTCCACAAACCCATCCTCAACAGGGCCCAGATCAGACCACAGATAAATGACGAGAGAAAGAATGCAAGGATGGGGACAAAAGAGAGAAAGAGAAAAGCAAGGAACATAGATTTTTACATTTTCTAAAGAAAATGTTATAGGTGATTGTCTGGGCAAAAGTCAATGCAGTTTCCAGGGTGTTGCTATGCTGTTGTTAAGGTGTTCTGAGTGGTTCTTTGCATGTTGCTATTTACATAGCAGGGTGTTGCTAAGGTGTTCTGAGTGGTTATTAGCACATTGCTATGCACATAGCAGGGTGTTGCTAGTATGCTGTTGCTAAAGTGTTCTGAGTGATTTATAGCACGTTTATCTGCAGTTGCCAGGGTGTTGATAAGGTTTTCTGAGTGGTTCTTAGCACGTTGCTATGTACATACCAGGATGTTGCTAGTATGCTGTTACTAAAGTGTTCTGGGTGATTTGTACCATGTTGTTATGCAGATGTCAGGGTGTTGCTAAAGTGTTCTGAGTGGTTGTTAGCACGTTGTTATGTACATACCAGGGTGTTGCTAGTATGCTGTTGCTAAAGTGTTCTGGGTGATTTATAGCCTGGTGTTATGCAGTTGCCAGTGTGTTGCTAAGGTGTTCTGAGTGGTTCTTAGCACGTTGCTATGCACATACCAGGGTGTTGGTATTATGCTGTTGCTAAAGTGTTCTGGGTGATTTGTACCATGTTGCTATGCAGATGTCAGGGTGTTGCTAAGGTGTTCTGAGTGGTTGTTAGCACGTTGCTATGCACATACCAGGATGTATGCTGTTACTAAAGTGTTCTGGGTGATTTGTACCATGTTGTTATGCAGATGTCAGGGTGTTGCTAAGGTGTTCTGAGTGGTTCTTAGCACGTTGCTATGTACATGGCAGGTTGTTGCTAGTTTGCTGTTGCTAAAGTGTTCTGGGTGATTTGTACCATGTTGTTATGCAGATGTCAGGGTGTTGCTAAGGTGTTCTGAGTGGTTTTTAGCACGTTGTTATGTACATACCAGGTGGTGCTAGTATGCTGTTGCTAAAGTGTTCTGGGTGATTTATAGCCTGGTGTTATGCAGTTGCCAGTGTGTTGCTAAGGTGTTCTGATTGGTTCTTAGCACGTTGTTATGCACATACCAGGGTGTTGGTATTATGCTGTTGCTAAAGTGTTCTGGGTGATTTATAGCATGTTGCTATGCAGATGTCAGGGTGTTGCTAAGGTGTTCTGAGTGGTTGTTAGCACGTTGCTATGCACATACCAGGATGTTGCTAGTATGCTGTTCCTAAAGTGTTCTGGGTGATTTGTACCATGTTGTTATGCAGATGTCAGGGTGTTGCTAAGGTGTTCTGAGTGGTTTTTAGCACGTTGCTATGTACATGGCAGGCTGTTGCTAGTATGCTGTTGCTTAAGTGTTCTGGGTGATTTGTACCATGTTGTTATGCAGTTGCCATGGTGTTGCTAAGATAATCTGAGTGGTTCTTAGCATGTTGCTATGTACAGTTCAGGATGTTGCTAGTATGCTGTTACTAAAGTGTTCTGGGTGATTTATAGCATGTTGCTATGCAGTTTCCAGGGTGTTGCTAAGGTGTTCTGCAAGGTTCGTACTACTTTGCTATGTTGCCATGTTGTTGCTAAGGAGTTCTTAGTTGTTGATAGCATGTTGCTATGCACTTGACAGGATGTTTTTATGCTGTTGCTAAGGTGTGCTTAACAACACAATTTAATACTTCAGGTTAGATAGTTTAATAGTTTATGATATTATGCTATGCAGAATAGTCTTCACAGAGCACTGATGTTCAAGTGCCCACATTTCCTCAAATCTCTCAGCCATTCTTCTCATTAACCCATCATTCCCTCCACCCACCACTTCTATATGCCACTCCACCCTTCTATGTCTATCTCCAACACTTCTGAGAGGCAATTACGGATGAATAAAAAACTGTCACCCATGTCATGAGAACAAAAGTGTGACCTCATTATCGTGCCAAAAAGTTTTAACGGATCTCATCTGAAACATCATAGCTTGCTCCTAAATGGCATATTTATGCTTATAGTGCCGTTTGAGGCAGACAATAGTCTTGAATAGATTTAATATAATGTGAAGCAAAGATGATGAGCTCAAAGCTTTAAACAAAGCTCTACTGACATGAAATTATTATTGAACTGTTTTGTTTTATGCAAGATGTCTGCCTACTGACCTTAATTATTGACCGCATATGCCTAGCTTGATGTCTAAAATCAAATGCTTAGATTAAAGGAATAGGTCACAAACAATAAAATAGTAAAAAATAAATAAACATGTATACTGTTGTTCCAAATCTGTATGACTTTCTCTCTTCTGTTGAAAACAAAAGAAGAAATTTTAAATATTTCTTGTCCATGCAATTACAATGAGACTGGAGAGTTCAAGCTTCAAAAAGTATGTCAAAATCATCATGAATCAATCACAGAAGCAGTTCATATTTCATTTCACGTATTCGCTACTGTATGTTCACAGTCTTCCAGAAGTCATATAAAAAACTTTGTGTGATAAACAGAAATTTAAGTCGTTATACACTAACAATTTCCCCCTCAATTATCCGGACCAGTTTGATTCATGAATGAATCATCCAGAACTGCTTGTGAACAGCATCAAATGATTCATTGAAAAGATTCAATTCAAAACACTTGGAATAAAGGACAGGAAATAAAGATATGAGAGTTAAACAGGATTTGAAAATGAAATAAAAACTAAAATCGGACAGTCAGACAGATACTGTATGTTCAAAGTCTTGTTAAAATTCATTGTTATCCGACACCTCAAGCATGTTAAAAACTAGTTTCCATTCTAGAGGTGTGTCCTCCTCACACAGCTCACACATCGACATGCAGAGCATCACGGGTTCAGCCTGGTCCCTAATGATCCCCGCTCAGCATCTGCCTGCTTCCTCGTCTCCGTCCGGATGGCTTCTGCGCATCAGACCGAACAGGTCGCATTTGCATTCAGCGGGCAGCGGGTTCCGCTTCAAAGCAATAATGAAGTGTGAAGTGTGACAACATTTAACAAGGAGGCAGGATCAGTTGATCTGCGTCATTTCCAACTCTCCCTGACAGGTGACGTTTGGCTTTCATTACGCCTAATGTCTAGGCAGACATGTGAGACAAGAGGTAGCTGGGGAGAGTGATTTGAGCTTCACGCAAGACAAATTCAATTCCAGGTAAGCCCCTCTGCATGGGTGAGTGGCATTCAAGACACTCTGGGTGTGCAGTTTTTGACGATGGATGAATGCCAAGCTGTGTTCGAGAGTGTAATGTTTATATACCTCAGTTGTGCAGAATCAAGCATGCTGAGACCCTGGACTATACTAATCTCAACTAAATAAACAGGAAACATGCCTCACTTCATTTATGATAAAGATTAAATATGCTATTTTATGGTTTTCAAAAACTGAAAAAGTTTCCCTTTCCCCAAAATGTACACTTCTGACTACAGGTGATGTTACAGATGAAGTTAAGAAAATAAAAAGTATGTTTAAATATAAAAATAAAAATGACCTGACATGGAACACTTAAACTACTTTTTAATGTGGCTTTATAAGCAATCTAATAAGCAAACATATAAAAGTTAATAACATAACAAAATTACCTGATATGGACCACTTTGGGCTTAATATGCAAAAATACTCGGAAGTCGATGGCTAACGTCCACTGTGTTACCAACATTCTTCAAAATATCTTCTTTTGTGTTAAAAGGAAACTCACACAGTTTTGGAACAAGTAAATGACGACAGAATTTAAGTTTTTGGGTGAACTATCCCTTTAACTCAAGAATAATGAGTATTGGGTTATGGGATAAGCCAGATTCAAACTTATGTTATCAACAGAGGCACCCCAGCTCAAAGTGTCAGAGCACATGCACTAACAGCTAGGGCTCTTACCATTTATTTTTAGCTAATCAGAGACAGCAATGGATTTCTCAGCTCAGGTTGCCGGAAGAAGATTTGAAGCATTTGCTTAAGGCAGCCGGTGAGAGCTGAGGATCTGATGCGCTGTGCCATAAAGAATTCATTAAACTTTTACATCAAGCTTTTTTTCATCCTTTTTTCCCCTGCCTTAGTCTCTTTCTCTCGCTCGCTATCTCTCTCTCTCTCTATATACAGAATATATCCGTCTCCCTGAGTGATGTCACACTCTTCCATCTTTGCTCTCTGTAAAGTCCTTCTGTTTAATAACGGACACCCTTCTGGGTCTCCCCGTGACCCTGGTCTCATCCGCTCAGCCGGCTCTTAAATTACTCCCTGTAAGCACTCCGTCCACTGTAGCGCACTCAGAATCATTATGCCATTCAGAACATGAGTGCGAGGGTAAGTGTGCATGTGTGTTATACTGCCTGTAATTGAAAAAGTGTCATTAAGTGTGTGTCTACTAGCATGTATTTGTGTTCAAGTGTTGAATATTGATGTCAGTAAGTGTGGGCCTTGGCGTAAATGTACCTGTGCGAGTGTGTGTGTGTGTGTTTTGCTTGTGTGTAGCAGTTATGCCGCTGTACCCTCTCCTCCTTAGATTACCTCTCATTGCCAGCGGAAAGCTAATCACAGGTCTGTTGGAGTCAGCATCCTGGGAGCATTTCAAGGGGAACAATCCCTGACCTGCTCACTTCAGCTGATTCTGCCCATGTGAGAACACGCACACACATCACAACTGAGATGAACGGACACCGCTGGAAACGTCTTCCTGCTAACACTATCCAAATATGTTTGGATAATTCATAAAATAAGACTGCATAACATTATACATTAACCAAGAGCAATTAAGAACACAATAAGTCACGAGAGCCTGCGAGTTACACTCATTTTGCCATAGTTTCGGCTAGCAACTATTTATATATAATTAATAAAACAGTCCAAAGCCATGAATCAAAACAACCCACTATAAGACATAGGCCTGGTTTCACAGACAGTGCTAATATGTATTAGGCCAGGATTAGGCCTTAGTTCAATTAGGAAATTTAAGTAGCTTTTATAAATGTTCCTTAGAAAAGAAAAAGAAAAACATTACTGGTGTGTATCTTGAAACAAAACAATGTCACTGACATATTTTAAGATATCTCCGTGCAAGTTGCTTTCAGTTAAAACAGCTCAAACATGCATTTCAGGCCCTGCTTCCACCTGGTATTAAAGATGTGTTTTGGTCGATCGGATCACAAGTGGACGACGCTAAATACAGTTGTAAACGGGGTCTAAAAGGTTTTGAGCTTGTCCACTTTCAACCACTTCCAGAAGTAGTCAAAAACGAGTTCAACCGGATCGCTTTCGTAGTGTTAACGCTCATGTGGTTGGATGTGTTCGAACAGCCACAAAAGACCGCCTACTCTCCTCCTACTGACCTAAAATGTAAACATCAAGGGAAGTGTGCTAGCCAGACGGGATTTAAACTTTGTCGGCTGAAGACCCAAGTTTGGTTTGAAGATGAAAACTCATCCATTTACACTCATCCACTTATGATCCGATCGACAAAAACGCATCTTAATATCAGGTGGAAACAGGGCCTAAGTCTGGGACTAGGCTTAAGTCTTGGCTGTGAAACTGGGGGGTTATCACTCATTTACAACCTTGGATTTGAAGTGAATGTATCAGAAATCAACATCATTCCCAGTCTTGGAGATGTGAGCAGAAAATGATAGACGGCTTCAGCAAAAGCATTGAAAACGCATTTTAAAAATAAACACGATTTTTTTTTACTTCTGAAAGCCAACAGTTGCGTTCTATTGCATGCCTCAAACCATTCCTCGGATCTTTAAGATCACATACTGCATATATGCAATGAATTCATTGACCTTTGTGACATCGTTATCCATCTATTTTAGGTCCCCTTGTGCGCGCGTTGTGTGCAGCCTGGCAGGTGGTTGTACGGCAAGTCACGTAACTTGCACAGCGGGACGGACAACATAAAGATCAAGGCTAGTTATCGAGCTCATGCATTGTAAGTATTGCTTCTTTTCAGTAGTTCATAGTTTCTCATGCATCCATAAGGGTCTAATTTTCCAGCATGTCGTCCACTCATGTTTTCTCTCGCCTCGGGCACCACCATCTCCCTGTCCTCAGGTGGAGGATTAGTCTTGGTGGGCATCCAGCTCGCCCCTGGTATCCTCTGCATGCGCTTCGCCTCTTTCAAGCCTGTCCCTCTGCAAGCTGTTCCTGGACCCTGGCACTGCCCTCTGTTTTGCCCCCCGCTATGTTCATTTATCTCCATACACTCTTCTGACAGCCCCAGGTCTTAAGCTGGCGCTGTGGGCGACCGCCTCGCCCGTCCAAATCCACTCTGGTCCTCCCATCTGTTTGGCACTGGACCGCGGGCATCTGCTGAAGGCTATTGTTGGGTACCGTCATATGCCGGGCCAAAAGGGCCCCAAGAGAGCCGCCGTCGTCCTGTGTATATGGTGTGTTCGGTGGTGTTCAATGGTGTGTGGTTGTGCAAAAGTGTATGTTTGCTTGTGGCACGAGCTCAGAGAAACGGCGGCAGGTCTTGGCCCCAGTCAGGGCCTTTGTTCTGGAGCGGTCCGGAAGCAGGCATGCTGTGAAACCCCACAGTGCCCTGGCGGGGCAGTCGGAATGCCCTCCTGCATCAGGGACTTGACACCGGGTCAAAACACAGTCCATCTCCAAGAGCCACAGAGCGCGTCTCGGGAGGAGATCGCCACTAATGAAGTCCACCCACTGATGCCAGGCTTTGGGAATTGTTTGCCCTGCGATTTAGGGTGTCTTATTGATTGCAAGCTTCATGAAACTCGATCTGCAGATGACACGGTGAATTGCTGAGATGTGCAAGAATATAAATTTGCTCATGACTGTCCAAAATGAGGACGTCTATACTGTTTCCTGCCAGATTAAATAACTCCTTAAAGATCCCATGATATCAAAATTGGAGTCAGTGTCTGATAAGATACTTAGGAGGAGCACGGCAAAAAAATTACAAACACAATATAGTATTTCGCTTCCATAAAGTGATGCAAGTTATGCAACCTATCAAACTTAAATTGTCAAACCATTTCATGGCATTAACATATTAGGGCTGCACAATATACATTGATATACTGGTTTTTGGAAAATTATATTTTATTTAATTGATTTTATTTTTTAAAGATTTAATTAAATGTATTGGTCAATATGAATCATGCATGCTATTTTCCTCTATTTTTACATTTAAATTTCCTTGCAATGTAATGCTAAAATTGAATCTTTAAACACACTAATTTAATAACAATATTAAATGTAATCTTTAGCTAATCTAAAAATCTTTTTTTTTTTTATTGCACATTATAATCCTGTAATACCGAAATACACTTGCAGGACGTACATTTATTGACTTTGTTAGTTCATGTCAAACTGTCAATAAAACTATAAAGAGCCATATTTGTTGTGTTAATGTTAGTTAATAAAATACAATTCTTCCTAGTTTGTTCTTGTTAGTCCACAGTGCATTACCTCTGTTTACCTCTGATAAACATTTTTATTTTTAAAAATATATTAGTAAATACTGAAATTAAAGGTACACAATGTAAATTTTGACCCTCAAGTGGTTAAAAAAAACTGCATGCATTGGGTTGTTCTTTAGCTCTGCGTGACTGTGCGGATGAATATGATCCTTCACATAATGCTTTACAATAAACTCAGTTAGAGAGCTAAATATGGCAATTTATCTGTTCAATAAAATACCCTTATTTACCTGTTGAGTAATAAAAATGGCATTTTACAACAATCTCTCAGTTCTCGCCATCACTGAAAAGCCAAGCCAATGTTGATTCTTGTTTTATTACGAGCCCTGTTATAACAATATTAAATGTAATCTTTAGCAAATCTAAAAAATCTTCTTTTTTTTCAAATTGCACATTATAATCCTGTAATACCTAAATACACGTGCAGGATGTACATTTATTGACTTTATAGTTGTATTGACAGTTTGACATGACTAACAAAGAGCAATATTTTTTGTGTTAATGTTAGTTAATAAAATACAATTCTTCCTTGTCTGTTCTTGTTAGATAAGATAGATGTTCTTGTAAGTTAGATAGATAGATTGTTAACAGATAAACATTGTTATTTAAAAAAAAAAATATTAGTAAATACTGAAATTAAAGGTACACTATGTAACTTTTGACCCACTAGTGGTTTAAAAAAAAAAAAAAAAAAAACTGCATGCATTGGGTTGTTCTTCAGCTCTGCGGATGAATATGATCCTTCACATAATGCTTTACAATAAACTCAGTTAGAGAGCTAAATATGGCAATTTATCTGTTCAATAAAATACCCTTATTTACCTGTAATAAAAATGGCATTTTACAACAATCTCTCAGTTCTCGCCATCTCTGAAAAGCCAAGCCAATGTTGATTCTTGTTTTATTACGAGCCCTGTTCACTTTTTGCCAGCAGACTTTTTTTGTTTAAAATGGGTTATTCCCTGGAAGTTGGAGATTTAGCTGCTCAATGTTTACCTTTCTCGAACATTATGACAACCTCTGCCACTCCCACACCATACACACGTCAAAGTAGCCGGAGCAACTTTTCTCTATTTACGATAAGACGAGACACGCACGGACGAGGGACGTACTTGTATGTACGCAATTTCCCGCAAAAACCATCCTAACAGATCTAAAATATACAATAGGCTTATAATAGGCTTACCATAGTGAATCAGGGTACGACAAAAACAGGAAGAAGGGTTGGGTAATTTACTCATTATTAAAATTGTGTTCATTTTGAACAAAAAAAGGTACATAGTGTAGAAGTATTGTTCATTGTTCGTACTTACTATTGTAGGCAGGGCTACCTATAATGTTCAAAACTAAAACCTAATTGTAAAGTGCTACCCATGAAACAAATTGTATGGCTTATATAATAACAGCCAGATTTTTTTTTATTTCGATGCATCCCTAACCCACATCAGGTATGCAATCCATTCGGTGACCTTTGTAATATCAAATTCATTAAACTTTGATGGCATCATGAGCGAGTTGAACTGAGCAGTCTGTACATGAGATCACATAGCTTGCCTCACAGGGTGGTTAACGTAAAGATCAAGACAATCGAATCCAGTGAGTAGCGCACACACACACACAATCACACCCGGATTCACCTGGTTCCCACTGTTGCACTTCAGCGGATCATGGTCAGAGATCCCTTTAGCCTATTTGGTTCACTCTGCTCCCCGCTACGCCTTCTGCCACTGCACATTAACATTTCATCAGGTAATTATAGCCAGCAAACAGCCCAAAACATCACGTGCCATTAGACTGTTAATGACAATGCAGAGAGAGAGAGAGAGAGAGAGAGAGAGAGAGAGAGAGAGAGAGAGAGAGAGAGAGAGAGAGAGAGAGAGAGAGAGAGAGAGAGAGAGAGAGAGAATAAGAAAGGCAGAGGAAGGAAACCGTTTGACAACAATAAGTGCAATAACAATGAAGATAGGGAAGAATGTGAGATTCCTCCAGCTTATCGTCTTCTTCAGGATGTGTATTCTGTATCTTGGGCTTTCATATTTATTTTTTCCAGGCATCTCTTATATTCCAGTTTTTCCAATGTTTGGAAGCGTTGTATAATTGACAATGTTAGTTCCCAAATCATGAAAGATTAATGTATGAAGGATGCATAATTAAGCAGTTTAATTCCAGGCTTTCCAAAGCATTACTCATTCTTTTCACTTTCATTTCTTTCTCTCTCCATCCTTTTCCTCTTTTCAGCCCCTCACCCCCCTTTTTTTTTTTTTTTGCTAGCTTGAAGATAATCAGAACAGACAGGGGCCTTTCATCTGAGCAATGGAATGATCTGAGAAGGGAGTTGTCTAGTGGGCTAAAACAAATCATCTCAAGTGTATTTGAGAAGGAGGATTGTACTTTATCTGTGAGCATTAACGTGCATGAAGGTAATTTAATGCTGACTCTTATCTAACAAGACTTGATAACAAAGGTTTCGCAAACAACTTCAATAACAGCCTGAATTTATAACAGCGCAACAGCAAAAGTGAAAGACATGGCCTATCAAACCATTGTTTGGTTTTTTTGACCATCTCGACCACTTTGACACAACAACATTGGCTCAACAAATGGAGCATGTCTGGGGCAAGACAGCTTTGTGTGATGCTAGAGGAGGACAACGTGTATCTTAATATTCTACATAAAACAGCATTCACAATCCATTTGACTTCTGTTACGAGACATATTTCCAATTTGAAATGGGATAAACAAGAAACAAAATGTACTTGATTTTATTCATCTAGAATTAATTGGATTGTGAAAAGTGCATATGATAAAATGGACAGACTTTAATGTAAATCCCCTAAAACAGCATCCTGACAACTCCAAAATGTTGTTTCAGAGGCAAAGCAAGATATTATATTTTGGTGAAAGATTAAGCAGACAAATAAGATTTTTCTTTGGAATAACATGCACTAATGAATAATGCATATAAGACCGAGAATGTTTAATAATACAGTTTTTTATGCAGGACACAACTGATGAAAATATCTACCACCTCACTGTCTTTATAGACTCAAAATGCCTGGATATGAAGTTCTTTGCACATCGTTGTACTGGATGCGATTTGTTTGAGGTGCTCTTGCTTTCCCGAAATGCTAAGTTGTGGTGAAACATTTCTAACAGTTGTCTCAGCAAAGCAAACTTGACTACACTCAGCATTCTGTCTCCTTGAACTGCTTTTCAGATCCAAACGCAAGACATACTTGTCTCTCAACTGCTACAGTAGAATTCTAAAAGCTAATGCAAAAATGGGGGGAAAAAAACCTTCACAGCACAATGCCTATAAAAAAAGACTATTAGCATGAATAATTCACACAAAACAAAGGGCGCTGCATATCAAAATATAGTTCATAAGGAAAAAAAATATTTCCCTCCTCACTCAGGGTTACAGAATTTATACCTCAACGTTAATGTGGCATAATTAATGGGCATTATTATTTGTAAACAGCCAGTATGAGGCACAGCCTTTCCAAAGAACGCCTAAACACAGAATATCCTACAAAGGACAAATGACATTACATTTGTCTGTAGGGTGCAGGTCGGAACAAGTTTAATGTTAATTCAGGAGCCTGAAGCTCGGTCGCCCTCCCCATCTAGTGCAGTCACACACACCCTCTCACGGGGACTGAATTGCTAAGTAGCTTTATATAACACCAGCTAGAGCCCTGCACGGGCCTCAAATCTAGGCCCTAGCCCGGCCCTGGCCCGAGACGCTCAGGCCCTAGCCCGGCCCGTGTCCGACAGCTCATTAGAATGATCAGCCCGAGTCCGACCCGAGCCCGTAAAAAAAAAAAAAAAAAAAAAAAAAAAAAATCACAGCCTGCCCTATGTTGCAGTCAGTAAAACAGATATTTTTTTCTTCTCAATGGCAAAGTATTTACCAGTAAGTTTATTTTCATTTCTTTATAAAGTTAATTTAGAAAAATGTTTTTTTTTTTTTATGACGACCAAGCAGCCGACAGTGAGTTAAACATGTTTGATCCATTTATAGCCTCTCAAATCAACACTTTACTTGGCTACAATACAATCCATATATATAAAACAACTTAAGCATATCACACAGACAGTTAACGTTTGTTTAAACGTTTATTGTCATTTTTGAAAAGCTGAGGCAAACTGCTCTGCTGCTCAGTCGCAACAGCGCTCGCAAACTAAATGAGTTTACAATACAATACAGAGAATGCAATCTAAACAAATCAAATAAATTACATTAAAAACAAACATGCAGGTTATCTTACCTCAAAAATCAAGTCTTCACTACAGAACATGGCCATTCTTATTTCCAATAGTTTTCAACAGACTCATGAAAATAAAGTCCAATCAAACAAAAAACAACCTCCTAACATGGCTAAGAACAGTCTCAGAGCATCGTGAAGAAAAAGCACAGCATCCACAGTGGAAGGTTTTAA